AGTTACTAAGCAGCTAGTATACATGAGCCAAAGGTATCAAAAAGTCCGCCTTGGTTGACTATAGGCCGTTACCTAATCTATACTCATCTATGAAGCCGTTTATCCTGACTAAATATCGACACACTATCAAATTATTAGTCTAAAAAGGGTTGATTTTTCATAATGAGCTGTATTAAACAAAAAAATCGACATCACGCGTGAAATACCAATGTTATACTGTAAAAATGTTAAAAATGCTCTAAACCCTTACAAATTTCTATTTAAAAAGTGAACGTCTTTATTCTATTTTTGAATATTCTTTTCATTATTATTTTTTGTTGTAATAATTTGATAGTAATTTACGCGGCAAATTCTATGTTCATGTTCGAAATTCAAATTTATTTAAAAAAAAAACAATAAACAAATTTCTCCGACTACCCCATAGACAATTTTCTAGGCTATAAGCACGACATAAGTATCTGTAAAGACCGTAGCTATCGCCATGAATAAAACATTGTAAATATGATTTCCATTGCGGCCAGACGAAAGTTATGTTTATACAGGCTGAAATTGAATTTATTAAAGGTTTTTACTCGTCATTTAGAATACGTTAGAACTAAAATGATGTAAATTTATTATATAATCAGGTTTGAGTACTGGTAATTCGAAGGTTACTGACCATAAGTAATTAAAATTTTTACAGTATTGTTTATTTTACAAAATATTGCCATATAATTTATATTGTTACTTATTTATTAAAACTTTAGGACACAAACACAAAAATAAAGATGTTTATGGCGGATTTAATACCATAAGACATTTTCTTCCAATCAATTAAGTAATAACGTCTTCATGATGACTCAACTCAGATGAGGTAGTTGAAGATATTTTACTGTCTGCGATGAAGATTCAGATGTATAGAAGAACATGTCAGATTTCTCAAATTAATTTCCTATTGATTTTAGGAAAAATATAGACAAAATATATAACCATAGAAAAAAATTGTCTTTCTTTCAGCAGATTCAAACTCATTCATATGTAGTTTGGATCTGAATCTAGGCATCCACTGAGCTATAAAGCTCTCAATAAATAAATTACTCAATTGTATTACGTCAATGGCTCAAGAAAATACGCCCACAATTTGTTGAACTCTCCGGAATTTGATGAATCGATGTGACGAAAGGATTATGTGTTAATCTCACTCAAATTATCGAATAAACATTTTGGAATATTCGAGCATTTACGGATCAAGCGACAGTCGATTCATTCGACATAATGAATCCATTTGTAATTATACAACACTTTGAATCAGGATAATGTTGCTGTATTAACAGTATATGTCAACTGAATAAATTTGGTTTCTTTAGCGTCTAGTTAACTGGTGAGAATAAATAATTCGAAATGTAAAATGCAAAATAAAATATATTACTTGAAATTGTATCAATTTACTATTGCGCAGGTTCTCGTCATTAAAACCAAAATATAGTAATAAATAATAATTTGTTTGTGACTATGGATGGATGTTACTCTTTCACAGAAAAACTATTGAACGGATTTTAATGAAACTTTACATTAATATAGCTCACACATCAGAATAATACATAGGCTATAATTTTAAAAGATATTATGTAAATTGGGCAAAATATAAAGATAAATGTCATGGAAGTGTGATGCAGACAAAATTACGTAGATCAGCTAGTAAGAAATAATCTCAGAACAATTCACACAGCCCCATCTAGACCCAAGTTAAGCTAGCTCAAGCTTGTATTATGGGTACTAGATAACTAATACAAATACATAGATTTTTTTTCCTAAAGACATACATATTAAACATAGAAGACACCCAGACTGATACAAACAATCATACTCATGATTACAATTGTTTGTATTACGAGGAATAGAACCCTTGACCATCGGAAGTAAGGTGGTTTGACTAAACTCCTAGACCACTGAGGCCGTCATGTCATTCAAACAAATATATTTTGTTTGATTATGTGTATTATGTGTATGAGAAAACAATTGTTTTCTCATTACGGCATATTTGCAAGCCATTGTCGGTATAGATTCATTTTTAACATTTCGTCCGGATGTGCTAACCCAATTTGATTAAATTAAATCAAAATAATTTCTGGGTGAAATTGTGAAAATATTTCTTTTTATAAAAATACAGGTGGTTGCGTACTTTTTATTACAGTTCAATTCTCATAATGACAGTGCCAACTCTTAAACAACGTAGTTTAATTGCTCTGTATTAATGGAAACCACTGAGCAAGTAATCACTACGTTTTAGTTAGGAGACCGCTTTTCCAGTAGGCAATTACTTATCTATGCTGGCAGAAGTCAGTATTTTGTACTCAGAACAGTTTTATGTACATAACGCTATTAGTAAAACTAATAGAAAATAGAGTGCGAACTAGTATTTATTATATCGAAATAGCTTGGAAGTAAAAGTTTAACATTTCCATAAAAATGTATTATATGAATAGATTTGTCAAATTGAGGCGTTATATTCTCATTTGTGTAACCTTTATACATATTCAAAATACACTATTCGGGAAATGTTCCTAAAGTACTATTTATTTGATGTGCGTGATCTGTGTCACATAAGATAACGTATTCTATATTCATATAGTAAACGAAAAATACTTCAATATAGGCGCGAAATAGTGTCGTTTTAGTCGCTAAACTGAGGCGAGTTCTAATTTTGAAATATTTCATTTGTTAAAAACTTCCTCTCTGAAGTCAAGTCGTAACCAGGAAATGTTGTTCCATATTCAATTTAATAGTGAATTGTCAGACTGTTCTATATTTGAATTCTTTTTTAGTTTCTTGTTGATAGAAAATATTACTAGCCCTAATAAAATTAAGCTGTACAGCCAAATGACCATTGCCTTTCCCATTTAAAGAAATTAAAAGAAAATAAGAGACTGTAGAGGAAAAGTTTTGCTCGGCCTATCTATATTTTTTCCCTATAAAACAATGTGGTAACATTTTTCTTTGTATCTTATTTTAGTTAAGTTAAGTTTGTGATATACTTTACTGACTGATGGCTTCGTGCCAAAATATAGTAGAATAAAAAACAAAGTTAAGGTACCTAATATTTTCTTATTCATAGACAGATAAATCTGTTCTTAACTAAGTTTTTATTATTTTTATTGCAACCAACGGCTAACTTTAACACACAATTCAATTACAGAGTAAGAGAAAATAATCTTTTTGAAATAACAAACAAGCTGAGGACAAGTTTTTATACGAATGTAGTGGTCACTATCAAGCGTACGACCAACCTGATGGTAAACTGTTACTATAGCCTATGGATGTCTAAACACCAGGGGTGGCAGCGCGTAGCCAACTCCGAAATTTATACCCTCCTTAAAAAATAATTAAAAAAAAAATATTGTTTGAAAAATGGATTATAATGCTTATAAATAATATTTAAATATATATCAAAGGTTCGGTTTGATTACAGACTTTCTAATATAATGTAAATATTTATCAACGTTATTTTACAAGCTTTTGTTATATATTGTGTTTTACATTTATAATGACGAATTAAGGTTATTAGTCTATATTTAAAATAACTACACTAATATTATAAATTCAAAAGTATGTCTGTCTATTACCTTTTCGTAACTGTTGAGGCTGAACGAAGCTTGATGGAATTTGACGTAAAGACAATTTATATAAGAGTACATAACCCCTTTTGCCTACAATAAGCAGATGTTATTCCGGAATAAAAACTACTGACTAAGCAATGTTATATAAATAAAATACTTAATACTAGATAAATTCATCAATTTTTTGTAGCGATTTAATATCTAGCCTGAGAAAAATCACAATGGAATAATATTAATTACATTATTTAACCATTAACACTTTCTTATAGAATTACCAAACGACGCTAATCAGACTAATTAACTTATCTCGTCACGTTTGTCAGAATTTAATCATCTATCCATTCCATTCTATAGGTGCAACCCTAGCAGTGCCCTTAGATTAGAGTCATATTGACCAGAGTAGACTTACAACCTATTATAAGTTCTTCAGCGAGTATGGATTGCCGTCTGGTAAACTACTATACTAACTACTGTTAAAAGTATTAGAATAATTGGAAAAAAAAAAGCAGAATATATATATATATCTTATATATATCTTAGAATAATTCCAATATATATATCTTAAATATATCTTAGAATAAGACAATGAATTGACCAAACCTGTCGAGTACCTAAATGCGTCACAAAACAAACGTCAACAAACTATACCTACGTCTAACGCTCTATGTTGTTTTTATCGATATATTCATTTTATGGTAGATTGATGCTGAAAACTGATCAACCAGCTTCGTTAGCATGAAATGGATGTGCGAGAAAAATATTTATGTCGACAGGCATCGTCGATAAAAATTATGAGCCGAGTTCAGGTAACGAACAAGGAACACTTTCTATATAGTTAATACTACACTGTAATTTATTAGAGGAAAGGCGATATTGTCCAATATGGGACACAGTTACCTATATACTCTAAGATAATCGTATCAGTATACTGCAAGTAATTAAGGCCAGTAAGACATTAATATTGTCTACTAAGCACTGTCCAAACTGTGTCACCCCATACATTTTGCTATTGTAATTTAGTATATGAGATCAATATTTTAATGTATGTACATTTGATCAGTTAACTTTTATCTGACGGCCACGGTGGTCTAGCGGATTAGCACACCGCTTTACTACCGACGGTCGAGAGTTCGATTCCTCGCACGATGTAAACATTTGTATTGTATAATTGTTTGTATCGGTCTAAGTGTTTTCTATATATCTATGTATTTGTATCAGTTATCTAGTACCCATAACACAAGCTTTAGCTAGCTCAACTTGAGCGCTGTGTGAATTGTCCTGAGATTATTATTCTTTATAATTTATAATACAATAATTTATTAGAAACAAATAATCATTAATCACCATACTATCAATCAATCATAAACTCCATCTTTTCAATCGACTATCATAAAGAATACTCACTTTTCAAATTATGAAGACCATAGTCAGCTATCTGTAACACCCATCGGCTGTCAACCAAACAGTTGCTCGACGTTAAATTCCCATGGGATATCAGCGGAGAGTCGTGCAGGTAGGTGAGACCCCGCAGAAGATCAGCTACCAGGCTAGCGACGAACATGTCATCCAGATGTAGATCTCTATCAGCCAGGACGCGTGCCAGCGAGCCTCTTGAACAGTAAGCGGAGACCACGTAGCTAGAACCGCTTTCGACGCAGACCCCAACAAATGTGGTCAGATTTTCATGACGTAGCTCACGGATCTGGGAAAATAAGTTGTAATTATCATTTTGTTAATACGAGAAGTAAAAACTTTGTACCCTTTTTTACGAAAATTTCGTGGATTGAAGGAGTATGAAATTTTGCACAAAAAAATTACGACGGCCTGAGCCGAGATTCGAACCCCTAGCGGCCCTCAGACTAAAGTCGTACCCGGCGGGAGTTAGCTTTCAGCCGCTCCATAAGTCCTTCCGTAGGTTTGGAGTGTCATCTGCTCTCAACCCCTATAGTTTGGTTAAGTTGTAAAGGTGCGATCAGCAGTAATAGACTAGGCCGATAAAAAAACACTTATAATTTATTTAGAGAAAGAGTGCAGAACGCTAATATAATGTACATATTTTTTACATATATTTATGCATAATTTATGAGGATTAAAACGTTATATTTCCCCACATTGTAATGTCACTACCATATCACCCGATTCATAATCAAAGTAAAAGACCTTTATTCATGTAGGTTCATTTCAGTCTCTTAAGATATGTCAAATCTACCGTCTGTTCAGAGTGTTTGTCGATCTGAGAAGAACTGACAAGAAAGTCAGCTCGTATTCTTTTCAAATATTGTTTACAATGCAGATTCATGTTTAAATTCAAATTTGGGAGAAAAGAGTGTCCACCAGCATATGCTATTGCAATTTTGTCAAAGCAAATATAATCAGTGTTCGTAACCCGAACAGACTAGTCTTCTTTTTAGATTAGTAATATAAACATATAGCTACATATGGTATTCAATATACAATTTTATGCTTCTATAATCAGAGGTAAGATTATATTTAATCAGTTAGTTGTATAGATTATTCACGGATAAAATCTTGAAACATAAACTAAATTAATGTGTTTCTATTATTTTAATTATAGTTAATTCTCCAGTAAATGTTTACAACATTCTAATTAGCGTTAAAACTCTCGAGTTAGTTTAGTTAGACGTTATTAATTACTATATTACGAAATGTAGACGTTTTAATTATAAATATTTATACTCAATATGAATACATTTATTATATTATAGTTAGACAAATGTATTAAATAAGTGACAATAAAAATGAACAAAAAATCTATACTCTATAAATATACAAAAAATAAATGTTAAGACTTTCATCTCATATCATAAAAGGCTAAACGTAGCAAAGCGAAGGCTAAACAAAAAGCTATGGAAATTCTCTTCTTGATAGCTATTTATATTTATATTATTTAGCTATTCTTCTTGATAGTAAATTGAAAGTAAGTGACAAAACACTTCAGTTAAAGCAGGTTAGCTGGAGGTTTTAATCTTAAAGAGTAATGTATTTTTAGTACTTACATAATCCTGAGAAATAAAAATAATAAAAACCATTCGAGGACTGTGATTAATTCAAATGGTTTCTAGCACTTTATTATTTGAAAGTTACTTTAACAATGAAGAGTAAGTGAGAAAGGCTTAAGAAATTGAAGTAGTTAAGAAAAAGAAAGCCACAATCGTAAAACAAATAACAAACAAGTAGTCAATCGTAGTCGAAAATATTTATATAATAAAAAAAAATATTGTAACAACATTGTTAAAATAATTTATAGTAATACATAAAAACAAAAAGAAGATATAATAACAACAATGCCTACTGGTCACCAAATCTTTAAAACTATAACGTTGAAAATTTTCAAATACAATACTTTTAAACTACAGTTTGAATCAAATATAAACAAATTAGAATTGAAACAATATTTTTAAAAAATTTTAATGTTGAATTTAAAATAGATCACATCACTTTAATACTTTTTAGAGTTACTCTGGACTGATCTGCTCTGACAACTATGCCTTCTTTTATTTTGTTACTCAAGTACCAATTTTATGACGTTTATTTTATGGTTTGTATTTACAAAAATCTTAAATATATTACATACTAGCTGTGCCCGAGCTTCACCTGCGTGAAATTTATGGTCTGTAGGTTATTCTGATATTCAAGCTATGTTACTGTAAAGTTTCATCAAAATCCGTTCAATAGTTGCATGAAAGAATAACAAACATCCATACTTACAAACTTTCGCGTTTATAATAATATTATTGAGATTAAGATTAAGATTAACAATATGCAAGTTTATTTGTTCTTGTGATGAATCTGTTTTACAAATAAGAGATAAAATAAAAAAAAAATTGTGACACAAATAGTCGTAATTTTTTTTTAATTCTTTTAAAGTGATTTCATTAAGTTTATTTAAATAAAGATCGTTTCTCTTTCTAAATGCTTAAAACGAGGTGTCAAGAATATTACTATAACCAATAATAATTACTGGTTATTATTATTATTCTAACTTAAACTTTAAAAGTAAAATAACTGTGATACAAAAACATGAATCGAATTTAAACTACAGACTGTAGATAGTTTAATTAAAACAACATAGGTAGTTAAAATTACTAATGTTACTTTTACGTACAAGACTACAAAATTGTAAGCGGATGTATGCGTTCCATTAAAACTTTTAAATTACTCTACATTTTGTTATATAAAGTTTTTAGTTGTTATCATGAATATATCCACCCTTACCAATATGTACATTATTTATAAGTTAAATTATAGTTCAAACTATTGTACCAGTTAAATGGGCATGGCGATAGTAACATAGATAATGGTCAATTAAATCATTGAATAATTAAATTTCAGATAAACATTCAATCAAATCAGATAAACTGTAATGTAAGGTAATAATAACCTTAGCAAAAAAATAACTTTCTAACCAACAGAGAAAGCCAAGAAAATAATGTAATAAGTAATTATATCAGTTGTCTAGTACCCATTACACAAGCTCTGCTTAGTTTAGGATTAGGTGCCGCTGTGTGAATTATTTTGGGGATAATATTGAAATTATTTTTAAATTGTTTATGATGAACTGACAAAAAATTTGGCTAATTTTAAACAATTCCTTCACCTAAAGAAGTTCCGAGTAACATAACTAGAATTCAACGATGCCGATGTGAGAGCCGCGGCTTTATGGATATAGTATTCAATTAAAATATTCTTACCTGTTTCAATTCCTTCCTGATGGCTCTAGTAACGTCGATGCTTTTCTTCTGTAAACGCTTCACAGCAACAATATTGCCTCTGTAGAGAGCTATTGTGGTGTGTGCACGTCGAGTATCCACGTCTTGGGGCATTGATGTCTGTAAAAAGTTCTTTATTAAATCTCTCAAAATGTTACTTGGACAGTAAAATTAACGGAAACGACGCCTAATGTAATCTAAGTGGTCTCAGACAATGCTGTTTCAGAGGAGTTTCCTCACGCGTACATCTAGATTGTGGAATGAACTACTTGCCGAGGTGTTCTCGAGAGACTACAGCATGGGGTTTTTCAAGAAGGGTATATTAAGGTTTATTTAATCTTATTTAAGATAGACTTTTACAAATCATCTGTGTGAGGATGATTGATGATGAGACTGAGGTACCCCTCAGTCTTTATTTATAGCACAGATAACACAATATTACATACATATAGCAAGCAGCAGCCAAACAATTTACTTTATTTGTGTTTCGGTTAAAGAGTTAAATTCAAATTCAAGATAAGAGGAATGGCATCTTAGTCTTCTAGAATGACAACATATGACAGCCTAAGTGATCTATAGGTTTGGCACTCCGCCTTACTTCCATGGTAGCACGTTGGATTCCTCGCACAATAAAAATATTCATACAGGTATCGTAATATGAGTCTAGCTATTTACTATGTATATTATGTATGTATTTATAAAAAATATATCTCTATGTATTTATATCAGTTGTCTACTACCCATAATACAATCTTGGGAGTAGATGGCGTGTGAATTGTCCTGACAAAAAAAAATATAATACGCATTACATGATATCTATGGTACCTACTTACCGTCAGCTTGTTTGCCATTGAAACTATATAAAATAAGTAAGAAAACATTATTTTAGTAAAACATAAATAATCACTACTCCATTAAACAACATTAAACATAGCGACAAACTCTGACATAATGTAAACAACGAAAAACATAGTATGTTGACAACCGACCGACCGGAACAAAGAGCTCACTATCAAATTAATTACGTTGCTAGCTTTAGGTCGTAGTTTTATCAACTTGTTATTTTCTCTATTCTAATAATAACTGTTACGATATTTATTTACACGTCGATATTTTGTTATTCTATACGTATACTCGTTACAGATAATTTTACTGGAATTAAATTGTCACTAAAAATAATAGAGACAAAATATAAATGATTTAAGATCACTATTTTATATATTGTCTATTTATATATAACTAGCTACTCGCCCCGGCTTCTCCCGGGTGTACATGTATTATACATATAAACCTTCCTCTTGAATCACTCTATCTATTAAAAAAACCTCTTCAAAATCCTTTATACTATGCAATAATGTGATAATGGATTGTGTGATTGTGTTAAAATAGCAACACACAAGTTTCTTGCTTGTTCTTCTTGTGATGAGACAACAATCCGAATGAGCGGTAGATAAAAAAAAAATTTTATGACTATTCAAAAGTGCTTCAATGTAAGTTTATTTGAATAAATGATTTTCTATTCTATTCTTGTGTTTATGTAAGCACTAAGTATTAATTACTGCTCTTTATATTTAATATTACCACAGATAACATAATATTACATAATACTACTATGCCTTTTTATTTCTTCAGTCCATTCTTCCGTCACCTACCACTTTCTATCTTCTCTCCTCTACCCAAAGTTTCTCTTGAAGAGATTGCTTATACGATAAAACAGCTTTTTGTACCTAATTACTCTAATTTATGTTCTTTATAATTTATTGCTAGTGGAATAAAGAGTTATTAAAAAAGTTGTAAATAATAAAAAAAGTTGAATGAAAAGTTATACATAATCACTACAGATAAAATCATGTATAATCTAGTCATTCGTTAACTTTGCAGACCATCATTTTGATAAAAAGTTATTTATAAGAAATACTACAAGCCTATAAAAAAAAAACCAGTACAGAATAGGTGTAATATTTATGTAGTATGTCGTAAGATTATTAAATTTATAAGCGACCACAATTTACATAAAAACTTAGATTAAAAACTAAAACATTTACGTTACATTCATAAAATGAAATTACTATTAGTTCTGAAATATTAAACACGTATTAAATCACGAATATATCAAATTCTGTCGATTGTTTACTGATTGTTTACATGAATACTTAAATAATTAGGTTTTTATGTAAGCACGGTGTATACTATCATAGGCGTTTAGTAAAAAGCTGTTAATTTTGATATTACAAGTTTAACTTTAAATTTATTTTTTCCATAAATTAACTCTCCGGAATCGATATCACAGATAAGATATTATAACGATATTAACTAAAAAAAACCTGATAGAGAGCGACAGGTTTGTTCCTGGTCACATTGAATTGAAACATATCCAGCGAAATGAGGAAATGTAAAGTGTTGCGTTAACCATAACATTGAGAGGTGATAATACCTCTGCCACTAATATCTCGTGACTATCTGTTTTTATTTTAATATATATATATGTATGTAAGAAATGTAATAATTTAAGTGCGTCTACAAAATTCCACCCGCAAACAAGTGTTCATTACTAAACTTGATTGCAATTACATTGCCACTTCGGCTTGTAGCTTTCCACTCCTATTTTTGTTTACCTTTAAGTATTTACTTCGGCTCGGTGTATTTAGTGAAGTGCAGCGCTGTGTACATTACTTAAGTAAGTTCAGTGCCTACTAAGTAACCTAGATTTACTTCTTGTAAATAGAGCCTAGTTAATTGGTTTTCTGGGACTCGCACGTCTACCGTGCTTTTACAGCGTTACTCACGAGTAAATAATTAAATTTAATGACTGCAAATTCTTGTATAAATCAGCTGGGTCAGCGTATTTCAACCGCCAAGCTGCTTGCTTTGTTAGCTGCATTAGATTATTTAAACAAAGATTTTCTATATAATCCTTTAATAATAATAACCCAGACAATTTACATAGCTCTTTATCTAGTCTCTAGCTAAGCAGAGTGTTTTAGACGACTGATAGATATACTTAGATACATTTTATATAAATGCATACTTAACATATATAGAAAATAAGATAATGTGCAAGTAATCGATCCCGGACCTACGGAGGTAAAGCGGTTCAACCGGTAGACCAATGCGACCATCAATTAGAAGATAAGAGATATACATGCAATTTAATGCATTTTAGGGATGAAAGAAGAAAATCTGCTCGGGATGCCTTAGAAAAAGATTTTATTCAAATATCAAAATTTAAAAAATCTAATTTTATATTTTGAATCTGCTCGAGATCCATTATAATAATTTCATATGATTATTTAATAAAATATTAATGCAGATTAAAAGAAATTACATCTACTTATTTATACAACTGAGTGTATCTACGCTTAGAATTGTCCATTGTCTACATTCTCTATGAGAGGGAGTGTTTAAAAAGAACTGCTGGATATGCCTTATACAAAGATTTTATAGGACCAGTCAATAAAGTTTTAATGTGGTTAAATCTAGCTGAATCTACTTATTTATACAATTGAGTGTACTTTGTATCTGTATATAAAGTTGCCCATTGGACTTTCACATCACGTAGGTATTATATACAAATATTTTACAAACAAGTACCCCGTTAACTCCGCCATTACGAATTTCGGCCATTGTCCGCGGAGTGTTTGGTTCCAACCTACCGCAATTTACTTTTTTCCAACGCTTGAGGCCCTTGTATCCTTCCCATTATACTAAGTACTGTTCTGAATTTTCTACTCTAATATCGGCCGGGGAGAGTGGTCATATTGTGGACGAAAGGGAAGGGAAACTTTCAATAATATTAAGGTATATATTAGACCAGTATTCAGTATTTTTATGGATGACTAAGTGCGTCCTGACGTTTGCATGAAAAAGGTACAGCCTATGTTACACTAAATAATATATATACAAAAATTAAAAATAAAATAAAAACAATTACAGTGAGATACAGTAACGAAATGGAATGAAAACGACAGAGGTAACAATGAGCGGCATTATCGTTGCCTATTTAACAACCAAACATTTGTAAATAATAATGATAAAGTTACTTAACTGAGTTTTAATATTCTAACACCTATAGAAAGGTGACATCGACTGTCTCATGCAGGCAGTACCATAGGATAAAACTAGTACGAAGTTAACTATTGGATTTATTTTAAAATATGTTATGTATACAATTTAAATAGATTATGTACCATGCTGTTTATTTCAGTTCAAGTTCACTCGTGCGTTAGTCAACGACGCATTCTTCAACTTACATCGTTCATAGTGCAATTCAAAATTATAATATATCATAAAACAGTTTATGCTCTGTTAGATACTGCTTGCTCTTCAGAAAGACAATAATTCCTTTGTCTATGCCAGGCAAACGGACGCTTTACATTCTCGAGCATAGACAAATTTATAATGATGTTGAAATGAGAAATTTCATATATTGTTCCATTTGACTCGACTTTTCTATTGTTCTAGAGTGTAAAAAATGTAATTCTCTAAAATCGCTGCTAAAGGTAAAAACGACGGAATGCAATACTTCTCGTTATTTGAGATCTACAAAATTCCAGTTTAAGTAGGTAGTTGTATGTCTCACTAAATTAAAATTTCTTTAAAATGACACCGACTCTATGTACTTCATAGAGTTCTTTTTATAAATATAACGATATTAAGGCGTAAGAGAAGCTATATTTATATTAAAAATTTGTTTATTTTAATTCCACTTGGATGAAATTGCAGGTAACAGTTAGTTTTATATAAGAGAGATATTGTATTTATCTGACATTTCTCTTCGTTATATATCTAGTCGTGGAAAATTTCTGTCATATTGTCTGTGTCAAGTTTAACCTGTAGAAATAATCTTTATTCTAATAAAGATTGAATAAAGATTATTTCTACAGGACTCTTTATTCAATCTTTATTCTAATAAAGATTATTTCTACAGGACAAACTTGACACAAACAATATGGCACATATTTACAACGACTAGATATATAACGAAGTGAAATGTCATTTATTCTGTCCTGTATTTTAGAAATTATAAAGCATTCTAAAATTCTATTATTCCCAAAACTATGTATATATATTATTATTATAGAATGTATATATATATATATATATATACATATTTATAATTATGCACGGTAATCGTTATAGCGCAAAAATCAACATAACTTTTAATAAAAGTATATTAAAATTTTACATAGTATGCTCAAAATGTTAAACGGATATATGTACATACATATGAATGTCCTGCTAGCTTATATGGAAAGTGAAGCAAAAAGGAAAACAGCACTTTAAATTGTATTTTATTAACACGTATCCTATGTTGTTAAAGGTGTATGCATTGTTGGTATAACTATCCTAAACAAATGAATAAATAAAGTACGGCCGATGGGACATAACTGCTTGTCATCTGAGCTGAGCTAGATGGTATGTATATAAAATAGTTGTTTATCTTGTTAAATTTAAATTTCCATATCCTATATCCTGTCCAGAAACTGCCATAAAATACTCCAAATATCGTATATCCATTGAGAATAGTTTGTGAGTATTTATCACGCTAGATGCTACTCATGTAGCAACTAATACTACACTAGGTCTTAAAATGACGTACCTAAGGAAATTTCCATGATAATACATTCAAGGACAATTCTAAGTAATATTAAAAGAAAGTGAGTTTTTTCTTTTCATATTTGAGAGACGAGACCCGACTAAAGTACCAATATGTAAAATTTCTCCTCATAAAAGGAAATGGTGTTTATACTGAGCTGTATGCGGAAATTGTATATAATAAACTGAATAAGTTATTAAAAAGTTTTTGTATTCTAGAGATGATCTACTCCTCATTGATAACATAGAAACAAATAATAAAATATTGGTGAAATATTTATTGTTGGAATTCATGAGTCTCCAAATTTCTCTAGAATAAATATAGAAGAGATAATTCCTTAACTTTTTTCGACCCTTCTCTCTATAGGAATAATTCGAAACATTTCATAAAGGAAATAAAGTATTTTGTTAAAATGGCGTTCCTGTATTTGGTAATATTTAGCTTAGATAAGATTCTGTCAACAGATTATATTAATTAAACATTAATATTTTCAACAATTCATGATAAAATAAAACGGTATAATTGAAAATATACAGACCGAATCTCTATCCATCCTAATACATTGGCAACACAGCTCTTGTAGCCTTCTCACATGCTCAAGAGACTAAAGAGGAGAAATGTAATGTAAAGAAAAGCAATAAAGGTGCTGATCTCTTCTCTCGTATTTTAAAAGAATAAAAAAACAAATATACAATTATTTATATATATTATACTTTATTTTAACTATAAAAAATCTTATTATTCAAACAAAATATTAATTTAGATAAATTTAAATAACTTATCCTAAAAACAAATAGAGTTATGGCAACAAAATACTTTTTTATTTGTTTGATAACTAACTAAAACTCACGACTTAGTTTTTGTAGATGAATGATCGATCCTCGTAATGCGTAAAATCTATTTTTACTTTAAATTTCAACAATATTTGTTCAATCGTGGATAGGTAAAAGTCAAACAACGTATACTGTTAGCGCAGGCGGGTGCATCATTCCATTTTCACCCACTAATAAAAGACAAGCATACAATCTTTTTTTTTTCGAATTATTACAATGCTATTGGCCGCAGCTGGTCTTTACAGCTTTACCTGGAGATATGGGGGCGAGCGCAGAAAGCACTCCAAACGCACAGGCTTATGGACCGGCTGAAGGTTAACTCCTGCCTGATGGATACGACTTTAGTCTGCGTGCTTCGAAACTGATTTTATATATAAGTAGTATATGTGAGAAAGAGAGGGAAGTATTATATATAGCATATCTAGAATATACTGCGCCATATATACTATTTCTATAAACTTTCGATTTTATACTATATATGTATTTTAGTATATGTGAGAAAGAGAGGGAAGTATTATGTCGTCTCTAGCGCTCACTGCTGGCGTCATAAGTACATTTCTATATACTTTAAAATAAATAGCTTCTATAACTTACAGACTTTATTACCCATCAAACTAAAATAAACGAGTAAATATATAATTTCCGTAGCTTCGCCCACAAAGAGCCCATTTGTAGTTACTTTATTCTCAAAGTACCTTCATGTTACACGAGTTCATAATACAACTAATATGTAAATTAGTACGTGCACTTTGATAAAAATGAGTTATTATCGTAATGAACATACCAATGAACATACTTAATTAAATAAGAAATCTAGATTTAGTCATAAAATCATCCTAACTTACTATAAGTATAGAGACCTCAAACGATGAACATAGATTTTATACACAATACAAGATACAAGTTAATGATACTTTGACATCAAAGCCGCGAATTACACTGCAGTTTGTATGTGTTTTACTGTAGGTATGTGAAATATAACAGCAGATTACGTCACAATATTCTTATCAATACGGGCTAAACATTTCATTATTTGACTTTTTAAATGTTTGTTCATTTTATAAGTACAGGGGCATTCGAAACACTAAGATAGGATTTCTTGAAGCTTCCATGCGAAATAAACCGGTTCGTAGAGCTGCAGTAAACTGCAAGTGTTTTCTATAATATAGCATTATTTAAAAAAAATATTAAAGTAATAATGACAGTTATATTATAAACAACAACATGTAATAAGGATACATCTATTTCAATTATGGATTGTATCAAAATTACCCGTGCCTCTTATTCTAGAACTAACAAATCAAAAGACTCACCTTATTCGTGTTGCAAGCAGATATAAAAGTCAGGTCCTTTGCCTCAATTCTCCACAGCACTGAAGCCAACTTCTGCTCGTATCTATAATGACGGAACAGCAAGGCAGCCGCCAGGATAGCTGCTGCAGCGGCCGCCGCAGCCGCCGACAGTACCCCAGGGTCGTGAGGCAGGGAGCACTTGGAGCCATTGAATCCACAAGCCGGCTCAGCGACAGGCGGTCTGCCTCCAATCCAGGCTATTGTATTGCCTCCAACTAGTTCCTGTAAAAGAACTAGCTTTTGAAGAAATATGAACTAACTGCCTATTGTGACAAAGGTTGTATTGACTTAACACAGTGGTACCATAAGTAACTCATATAAATTTCCAGTTGAGTCTAGTGATATACAGCTATATATCTATCTATACAGATAAATATAATTGGAGTGTCTGTTTGGAATATTGAAACAATAGTTTTTTACTACATGCATATTAATATAAATACGGTACATATACCAAAATAACATTTTTTATAATTTTTGTCTGTCTGTCTGTTTGTTTCGGCTAATCTCTGAAATGGCTTGACCGATGTTGACGGGACTTTTTTTGGCAGGTAGCTGATATAATAAGAAGTAACTTAGGCTACTTTTATTTTAGAAAAATAAAGTTAAATTCCACGCGGACCAAGTCGCAAAATCAGCTAATATTTAAAATAAGAATAAAGCTGGATGTCACAAAAAGTCAGAGAGTCGGATTGTCCACTCCTGGCACTGGACATCACTACACTTACGAACCCAATGATTCTGGAAATAATATATAAATAAATTAACCTGTTTTTATAGTTATATCTTAATCAAATGAATGAATCACAAAATCTAAAATTAATAAAAATCATGAGTGATACAGTGTGTACTTTGCTGTGGCTATCAAATTTATTCCAGTGATGGTGTATATAGAAAAAGACAAAGGAGGCGTGCTTGTAACAATTGATCACTATCTGTATACTATCACTATCTGTAACTATATGTAAGGTATCCCATCAAAAACATACATAAATGTGAAATCTTAGCCAAGTTCCATATTATGCCTTGATTGTTGACTTCAACGACAAAATAAATGAGATCTAAATGTATGCCAAGTTCAATGCTCAGTTCTGAAATTTATTTATAAAAATATAAAATATCTTTTCTACTTATAACTTAGTATAATATATTGTAGCCTAAGGTCAGACTTGGCTAGTTTTCATATTTTTGCAATTTGACAGGTTTATGTGAAAGAGTTTTTGAGTTATGAGGGGGTCAAAAGTGGCTCCAAATGGTTCGTGTAAAACTACACACGGTGCTGCTCGCCATTTCTTTTACTTGAACTTGGCTTTGACGCGCTCCCGCGTCTAGATTCGTTAAGTCTTGCTAAGTTATTAATATACTAAAATTTAAACCGTTTAAATAGAACCAGAGTTAAAATTCGGCGAGTGTAAAAACTACGAGTTGAGAGCCGGTATGCTGAGAATGTTTGTAAATACATACATAATATTAAGGGTGTACACTCTGTTAGTTGTCCTAAATAAATAAATAAATTAGGGTCAACGGATTACAATACTGCCTGTTATCTGAAGTGAGCATGATATTTGTTAAGTATATATTATACTTCTTACATATATACCCATTTTTATATCCAGAAAGCACCGTAAATAAAAGAATAAAGTATATATCATCACGCTAGAAATACTAAACAACTAATATAAATATGTACTTAAATATATATTTTTTTTGAATAAATAAACCTTTCATAATTTCTTATGTTCAAAACCAGTTAGTTGAAACTACTGAGAAACCCGTGAAGTTCAAAAGTAGCGTGTAAGAAAATTACTTTCCGCAGTCAGAAACTAGAAGCAACTTGAACGGGTACCCTAGCTTTGACTTACTCTACACGCGTCGCTAGAAGTTATAAAGATTTTCCTATCTCTATAGAATATGCATGGTATTCGAAACCAAACAACAAAGTTATTCCAAAATTATACAGATAAACATTGGAACTCGAAACTTAATTAACACAAAGCATTGCAACTTACTGCGCAGTGCTCTGATAACTATGACTGATTTATTTTGTTACTCAAGTACCATTTATTTATGTATGTCAACATTGCTATTTGGAATAGAATAGAATAGAAAATCATTTATTCAAATAAACTTAATTTAAGCACTTTTGAATAGTCAAAAATTATTTTTAAATCTACCGCTTATTTAGAAATCTGTCTCATCACAAGAAGAATAAGCAAGAAACTTGTGTGTTGTTCTTTTAAACAATCCTTGTAAGTTCACATTTTACAAGTCGAAACGTGTGAATACAAACTACCAACCAGCACTAATACTATAGGCTCAAATATAAAAACACTATAAGATTATATCAGGCAGTTTATATTTACACGAAATTCCAACACGCAAATTACTTGCACATTATTCTTGAGATAAATCTGCTTTTCGAATGAGTTGTAGAATAAAAAATTGTGCATATTAAAATATACATATATATTGAATAAAGATTATTTCTATTTCTATTATTTCTAATACTTTAAGTAAATATTATTTTATTCTATTCCAAGTTCTGAACTGTCTAAATACTGTAACATAGGTTTTCCTTTCTTACTGTACAGATTCCGTTCAATTGTCTTATATTATTATACTAGCTGTACACACGACTTCGTCCGCGTGGAATTTAACTTTATTATTCTAAAATAAAAGTAGCCTAAGCCACCTCTTATTATATCAGCTACCTGCCAAAAAAAGTCCCGTCAACATCGGTCCAGTCATTTCAGAGATTAAACGAAACAAACAGACAGACAGACAAAAATTGTAAAAAATATTATTTTGGTGTATGTTATTGTAATTTGGTGCAGGTAATGTATATTTGGTGTATATCTATTTATATTCATATGCAATTAGTAAAGAACTGGTATTTCAATATTACAAACAGACACTCCAATTATATTTATATGTATAATTTTCAAGATGTTAAAAAAAAATATGAATAGTAATATAATAGGAAAGGAATAAATAAAATGTTTGATATATAATTCGAAATAACGTGAAATGCTGCCATATATAGGAGTATATCCAGAATATAGAGAAAAAAACAGGAAATAGGGCAATATCATTGCTTTGTACCTAACCATCGTATATGAATATGACAACATGTAATGAGACTGTCTGTAGACCAAGACGAGGCACTGACAGCCTCGCATATTTAGATGTTTAATAAAAATCTGTTTTTATGCCAATAAGTTTAGAGTTGAAATTGTAAATGAAATGAAAAAGCAATTACTACATTATTGGTAATGGTTTTTAGTTTTCAACCCTCTTCATATATGTAAAGATTCTTCTGCATTATTTTATCCTATGTCTTTGATAATTTTGATTCATTAATCTTCTTTTAAATTCAAGTTTTAATATCTTATTAATATTATAAACGCGAAAGTTTGTGAGTATCCATGGATGTTTGTTACTCTTTCACGCAAAAACTACTGAACGGATTTTGATTAAACTTTACAGTAATATAGCTTACATATCAGAATAACATATAGGCTATAAATTTCATGCAGGTGAAATCGCGGGCACAGCTAGTAATCAATATTTTCCCTGATGTTCCGAGTGCTAATGGGCGGCGGTGATCACTTGCCATCAGGTGAGCCGCAAGTTTGTTTGCTGTTAGAAAGATTGAGAGCAATGAAGTAAGAATATTTCGAATTTATGTCAAAATATATATAAAATGTCTAAACCCTTCCAGCCAATATTATCAACACCCTCTATCCAATAAAAACATCACATTGGCCGTATGCTTGATTGCAACCATCGTGGTATAAAATAAATAGTTACCGGCAATAGATCAGATGAGTTTGCGTAATGGAACGTGGCGACAGGTTGGGCGCTCCAGCCTCCTGGGGCAGTAGCATCTTCCACCAAACCGATCACCGTGAAGTTGCCTTCTGCATCACCAGCCGTGTCCATGTAGACCTGATAAGTAGAAATTAATCTTCATATTTATACATACTACCATTCTAATATTATAAATATAAAAGTTTCTTTCTTTAAGTGTATTTGTCTCTGTGTTTGTTACCTTTTTACGACGAAACTTCTGAACGGATTTAAATGAAATTTGGCATGAAGATAGATAACGAGAACGGATACCTTTTGTCTCAAAGAATAGTCTGAAAGGGGGTGAATTAAAAGATGGAAGTTTGTACAGAAGAAGTTGCCAATTTAAATATAATTAGCGACCCAACAGGCATCACATGGTGAATTACAAATCTTTGAATTTCTTGGCTTGTTCTGTACTATAACACACGTGTATTATACATATAAACCTTCATCTTGAATCACTGTATCTACTGCTGAAAACTACATTAAAATCAGTTGCGTAATTTAAAAGATAATAAAAGATATAAACGAACAGACAGCGGCGGAGACTTTGTTTTATACTATGTAAAGATACAAAAGAATTGAATCTTTTAAATTAATTGATATCATCTCATAACAAATTTGTGTCAAATCATATCAAAATATTTATGTAGGTCTATTACAAACTCTTATATTATATAGGATAGGTCAAATCTACCGTCAGTTCGAAGTGCTTTCGAGATGAGAAGAACTGACAAGACACTCAGCTCAATCTGCTCATCTGTATACCTAATAATAATTCCTAATAATAATAATTCATAAAATACTATATTATCTGTATATGTGCCATCAAAAGTTAGTATTATCTTATTTTATTTATGGTAAATAAATAAAATAAATTATATTTAATTTTGCTACTTTACATTTATTCTTTACCATCCATCCTAAATGCCAAGTTTCATTATTAGTTATTAAAATAACCACAATGAGTAAAGAAAGAAGAGTACGTGAAAGAGTGAAACAAACAAACAAAGTTAATTTATAATAATAGTTAGGATTGGACTATTCTAATCCTAACTAATACTATACATGATATTCTTGCATTTCCTCCAAAGAAACTACAGGAATATCTGGTTAGTAACTTTATAAATTCTTTATTACTGGCTTATTTACTATTGCGCGACGTTTCAATAGAGTCTAAACTACTGGAAAATTCTGCAAAATAACTGAGAATGAACGTTTCCTTACTTTCAATTCGTGGGGTAATTTTATTAAAGCGAGAGAAAACTTTGGTATTCGAACTGAATGTCTGATGAAGAGTTCGAAGGTAAATCAAGTTAGCAGTCTGTAATAGAGCATTTCCTGTACACGTACATAAACAGAAAATAGAATCAAGTAGTTTTTCATTCGGTGTCGGTAGACAAAGGACATTGTTTTATTATCGGACTTCTTATAGAAAAAAAAACATTTTATTCTATGTAAAATTTTACAATCGTACAGTTGTAATACATTTAGTATATATTTACTACTAGTTACCCACCCCGGCCTCGTACGGGTGTCGTAAATCACTCTATCTGTTAAAAATCACCGCTTCAAAATCCGTTGCATAGTTTTAAAGATTTAAGCATACATACGGACGGACAGACAGCAACAGCGACTTTGTTTAATACTATGTAATGATATGATAGACGGCCCTGTGTGCGCATAAAGATATCCTTCTTGTATATATTTAAAAAAAGTCCACAATTATACAAGTATTTAGCATATATTTACTATATAATAGATGGCCCTGTGTGCGCATAAAGGTATATTTCTTATAGGTATTAAAAAAATACAGTTCTAAATAGTGGATTTGAATAGGCATAACTGATTGGTTGTCAAGATTATATAAATTTTTAGATATAGTTTTTTTTTAATATCTAAATATTACAAAGTATTAATTTCTAAGACAGAGCTTTTACTATAGCTACTACAATCAACAGAAATGAAATTTAAGGGTAAGAGGTTTGACATCTTTAACATCAGGTGAGATTGCGGTCAAACGCGCTCAAATTATGATATAAAAAAAAAATCTTAATACTCATGAGTGGTATCGTATGAGTGCTGTCACATGATAACGTTAGTGATCTTCAAGTATATAGGCTACGGTTATTGCTTACCACCAGATGCCCGTCAGCTTGTTTACCATTCCAACTGCATAAACAACTCAAACACATTTTCTTTATAAACTATCTGACCCGGCGTACTTCGTAACGCCTAACAGTAGATTCCCTAATTTATTCGTTTATTTAATATCTATTCTGCTATTAAGGACGCCGGGTCAGCTAGTAAGATAAAAGTTATTAAGTCAATAATTACATTATGTCAAAAAATAAAATTATGTAGCAACTAAAATTATTTTAATAGTCAGTAAAGAATTACAATTTACTAAATATTAAACTAAAATTTCTATGGTATATAGTTTAGTATCAGTCATCAATTCTGCTCTGCTCTGCTCTTGTTCGTATTCCCGTAGTAATATTTTTTAGAATACAATCATATAATTTCCTGTAGAATGCTTAAAGTCAACCCTATGCCTGTTGAAATAAGCACAGATAACCATATTAGAGCCGATTTAAAGAGCATGATGGAAGATCGTGGAAAGTGATAAGAGTATTGCCCTTAAATTATGAATGAATAAATGAGAACAAAATATATTTGAGCATAAAACTAATTTTCCAGCTGTGCACTTTATAAACTATGGAAATATATTTCAATTTGAACATGTAATGTGCTGGAAATGTGTTTCTGATTTACTTTGCTATCCTTTAAAGAGGAGGAAATTGTAAAATTTCCATATACGCTACAGCAATTTTTAAAACGGTTTCTTTATTTTGACTTTAAGTTACTTCCTGGCGTTCCTTTGGCTTTGCCGCTTTATTGGTTACATGTTTGCAGTTACATTTCACTAAATGCAATGTTATTTTACTTTCTAAGTTTAGAAGAAATGTATTTTCTTATATAGGAGAATTTCTGTTACTTTTGTATATGAGTTTTATATTACTTGTTTTACTCAATCGTTCGTTTCATCTTGGCTGTTAATTTGGGAAGAATTAGTAAAAGACTAATCTCATATTCTTCTTAAATTATATAATCAATCAAAATATGGTAGTACACCTAAGCAAAATACAGACCGAATAGCGATATATTCTCGCTTAAAAATTCTGTTAGTATCGTGTTAAAGTATGAATTTGTCGATTTGTACCCAAAAATTGATTTCTTTTTTTCTAAGATATGACACGTTTATTTAATCAAAATATTTACTCTCATTATCATACATTGCTGCCATGTAACCAGACGTTAATTTCTAGTGTATTTGTAAATTTGACACGATGGGTTGACTGACCTAACTGATCTTCTTATTATCCTCACTCCATTCATAATGTTAACTATCGTGTGACGCACCATTAATTAAAAATCGTAAAGTCAATAATCATGTAACCTGAAACGGAACGTCAGAGGCCAGAGCCAAAGTAATCTTTGTGACATTGACAAGTAGATGGATGGGTGGATTGAACTGAGGTAGCGGGAGGTTTAGAGGGAAAAAGTTGAAGTGTTTTATATTATTATAAAAACAAATAAGAGATAGGTAATTGTGAATATTGTAGGCATTGTGGATTGATGTGTAGATTTCTCTCCCTGACCAACCGGCATCACGCCTAAGTTGTCAGGGTACTAGTGATTTTAATAATAAATATATATAGCACTAAATACATATATACAATGCATTATTATTGAGGTTTATCTAGACACGCGGAAGCGTGTCAAGCCGAGTTTCAAGTAAACTGGCAAGCAGCACCGTGTGTATATTTACACGAACCATTTGGAGCCACTTTTGACCCCCTCATAACTCAAAAACTCTTTCACATAAACCTGTCAAATTTGGTTCATATATTGAGACTTGCGAGATAAATATGTGTTCCAAATTTCATAAACATATCTCAAACGGTTATTTAGATATTAATGTCCAAAAATCGTCATTTTTATCACTGATCAACTATAGATCAAAATTATAACCCACTTCCAGATGACCTAGGAAGTTCAAATTTGGCATGCAGATAGGTAATTAGGTGAATATAAAGGAAAAAATCTGAAACTGGTAAATTGTTATCATTTTACTACAATTTTTCACTTTAATTGATTCTGTTTCAACTTATACTGGACGAATACTAAAATTCTATGAAAACGTCGATAGCCACCAATTAACGTTGACCCCTTCACATCAGTGTCGATAACTAGCAAACTTCAAATATTGCATTGAGCGGTAAACACTAGTTGCTATAATTTAGATTCTGTCTAAAATACACTCGTATTTATAACTAGGAGTATAGTCGAATTTCGTATTTATTATGTTATTAACTGAGATTTGGTATTAATTATTGTTTCAATATTTAGCGCACATCGATAGTGTAAAATCATTATTTTTATAAATAATTATTAAATAATAGGCATATCGGTATAGGGCGCCGCGGCGCCGTGTGGGAGCGGTGCGATAAAACGTTGAACTAACCTATAAGGTTGGTATTTATGCTACGAAATTCATATTTGTGGTTATATTATTATTACATTATTTTAGTAAATACGTATGGTATAGACAATAGTTTAAACCAAAAAATAATAATAAATTTAGTACAGTTAGAAGTAGGAATGTATAGTTAACGCGAGAATGAGAACAAACAAACGAGAAACGAGAATGGTAACAAATTGTTTTCTTGAGAATTCAATAGATAACAGTCAATTTGTTACATAATCGTCTTTATGAACTATAACGTGTCAATACGAAGTTTCAGATATTAAATACGCGTGTCTTGGCTAGTTTTCATATACGAAATATACTGTAACCTTTGCAAGTTCTAAACATGTTACTTGTCGGTTCCTATTTTAATATTAGTAGTAACTAGCAATCGAAAGTAATAATTGGTATATGAGAACTGGCCAAGTTAGACCTTAGGCTACAGTATATTATCCTAAGTTATAAGAAGAAATGATACTTGTATATTGTTATAAATACATTTCAGGACAGACCATTGAACTTGGCACCCATTTAGATCTCCTCTCTTTTGTCGTAGAAGTCAACA